TCTTTCTTTCTTTCTTTCTTTCTTTCTTTCTTTCTTTCTTTCTTTCTTTCTCTTCCTTTCTTTGTATTGTATCTTGATGCTAGGAGAAAAATATCAGAACAGATACCGAAGTGCAAATAAACATTCCCACAAACATCTTGCAAAATGACATCAAACTGAAGAATTCACCCGTCATGGTCTGGAGAGATGGTGTCTTTCTCAGAGCACACAACTAGTTCTCCGATACCAGTGGTATATCTAGACAAATCCCCTCCCCACAGGCACAAGTCTGCTGGGTTTCATAGCCATCTTCTTGGTTGAACAAAGCAGGCCATTATGGTTAATAACATCTGGACACAGATCTTAAAGCATGTGTAACAAAGTGAGTTTTTTCTTTTTTTTTCTTTTTTTTGCATTTCAATGATAACAGAAATAAAAAAGCAAGTAACATTTGAAATGTAATGTAGAATCAGGGTCCTTTGGGACCTTGCTAGAGTGACCATGTGGTTTCAGGACCAGTGCCAAATGTCATTCTTGAGTAGTTTGGGAGATGAGGGTACCGCTATCAGACATCCAGTGTTAGAAGCTACTGCAAGGTGACAGCACCCAAGCTGGTTGCCTTATGACCCTGGAAGTGCTTTTAGATGGAAACTTGTCTAAAAGCGCAGTCCTGTTTTTTTTTTTTCAGGACTTAGATAATCTTCTTAACATTGAGTTAAAAAAATAAAAATAAAATTTTATTTTTAGCATGTTCTTTTCAAAGCTCTACTGCCTCCAGAACAGGCAGTGTGGAGGGATTCCCTCTAGGGCAAAGCAGCCATATACTTGGATTCAAGCCAAGCTCCCAGCCTGGAAAGTGGAAGGATATTGCTAGCATTTGGTTCATCTATCCATTTTGTGGGGGGTGGGGGGATGTAGACTGGAGGGTTGGGGTAAAGATGGCAGTGCAGAGGACCAGGGAGAAAAGCAAGCATTTTCTCTCCCCTGGGGGCCTGTGAGCCGACATGCTAGTGATGTACATAGTAGGACTCTGAGCGTGTCTCCATTATGCAGCACTTTCTACATGCCACCTGCATAATTCCATCTCCTCGAGATGCTCCAAACTACTTGAGGACATTTGGGTTCTGAAACATGGCCACTCTAGCCTCATCAGCAAAGAAAACACGGATGTAACTTGGCAATGAAAAAGAAAAAAATGTCACCATGACAGCTGTTGCGCTTGAATGACAGAAATGAAGGACGGAGGTCTACAGATCTACTTAGCTCTTGACTTCAGGTTTTAAAAATTCAGAGTTAACAAAGGAAAATCCTTCGAATTCTGATTGGTCAATATTCCTGATGACTTCCTGGTCAGGAGGTGTTAGGACTGGTGGATGGCGGGTGAAAAACCGGTCGAAGTTTTCAGCGTTTCGCCCACACTATGAGAGGGGGAGAAAAGAACTTGTGGTGGGTGGGAAAAAAACAAAACAAAACAAAACCGAAAGCCAAAATAAAACAGAACTGAACAGAATCGGGTGTGGTTTCCTCCAATCCCTTCCCTTCCAGAAACGCAGAGGCTGCTTTCAATGATCCGCAGTGAGGGCAATGGAAAATGCAAATTCTCATAACCTTTGTTACCTGACCTTGGGCTCCCAACCTTTGGGTGCTGAAGCTCTCAGGTCACTCCTGGTTTCCTTTTGGGAAGTCAGGAAATGTATGCCAAAGGCATGAGGGGGTGGCGCTAGCAGCATGTGGCATGTCCCCACCGCGTCACCCACCCCCCATGAGTCAGACAAGGCCATCTGTTGAAAGACATGGGATTAAGGTCTTTCCCCATCTTTAATGGGTATCAGATGTCAAATAATGACCCATTCATACATCACCTGGCAAGCTCAATATTTATAGCAGCAGAACCCTTAAAGTGCCATCCTGCTGCTCTTGATCAGGAACCATAGGTGCTTCTAGCTCAACAGAATATAGTTTTCAAACATCAGCCAATGGAGGGAGAACCCAAACATAAGATCTCAGTGTGACCACAAAGCCCCGGATAGCTGGATTAATCATTGACCCTTAATTACAAGGTTCCAGACGGTAAAATCAATCACTCTCCAAATATGAAGACCTGGTGCGGGAGGAAATTCACATGCACACATTAAACTCCTGCCTAAGAAGAGGAGTTACTACCTCCAAATGCTTGCTGTTGTTGATTCTCAGCATAGCCATGTGCACAGACACCCCCAGGATTCTAGCATCTACAGGAGGGGTTGTGGCTTGAATGTGCAGTGTCTCCCATATGTGTGAGGCACTTGCTCCTCAGCTAATGACGCTGTTTTGGAACATTGTGATATGCTTAGGATGTAGAGTTTTGCTGGAGGAAGTGAGTTACTAGATGCAAGCTTTGAGGTATCATACTCTGGCCATACTTCCTGCGTGCTCACTGCTTCCCAGATGCTGATGCGATATGACCAGCCACCTCACACTCCTGCTGCTTATTAAGTATTTGATCACAATGATGAGGAAAGTAAGTTATGCAGGAGGCAACGTCAACCTAATTCTATTACAGTACCAACGATAACAATGATCTGTATTGTGTGTTTGCCACAGCTGGGCATCTGGCAGAAGACTTCACCCATATTATCTCATTTAACCCTCTCAATGGCCTTATGGAGTATATCATTGCTATGGCTTTATTGAATGTGGAGTTATAAGTTTGAGTGATTGCTCTCCAGCTGCAGATACTAACTTGAGAGGTTATGGAAAATTTAGGATTGTGGCTTAGCGAGTGGAAGTAGGTCACTGGGGGCAGGCCTTGAAAATGATATCCACTTCTGCTTAGGTCTCCACACTCTGCCTCCAGCCCACCACGATGTGAGCACTGCTGCCGTCATGCCTTCCACATCAAGGTGAACCAATATCCTTAGAAACTGTGGATCCAAACGGATCTCTCCTCCCTTAAACTGCACCCGCCAGGGATTTATCATGGTTTCCAAAACAAATTAGCTAACGCAAATATTATCTCCCACTTTATAGACAAGGAAACTAAGGCCAGGGAATCATCTGCTCAAGGGCAAGCTGCTAGCAATCACAGTGCGGGAGGTGGAGTTGGATCCACCAACTATCAGAGCCAGGGTCTCTGCCTCCGCATTTACAAACAGAGCTGAGGGGAAGTGGTAGACTGAAAAGTGCAGCGGGGTGGGAGTGTGAGTGAAATTGTGGTGCTGTTGATTGACAGAGAATGTAGTTCTCTCAACAGCAGGGACAGGATATGGGAAAACTTAGAAAGATGGTGACTTCCATTTTTGGATATCATGGTTTTGAGAGGCCAGTGCCGGTCTAGCTGAGAACAAGAGGAAGTCAGGAGTTGTGGGGCTCAGGCGAGAGACCTTGAAAAAAGCCTTTCAGAATGTCACACTGAGGGAGGCAGGGTGGATAAGAACAAGAATGGCCACCAGCCACTTCCCACATAGTTGGCAGGCACTGAGTGGCTTTGTTCATGGTACCTTTCAAAATCAAATGATAACCCTTCAAGGCATGGATTCTACTCCCATCTGCCAATGATAAAACTTCCCTCAACATTGTCTTAGGGCAAGCAAGGAAACCCAGGAGAGAAGACCTCAGATATGCTAAGGACTGAGAGAAGTCACAGGCACATGCACTGTCCTATTGGAAATACCTCTAAAATGTCAGGCAGGAAAGTTTTCTGCAAAGGAGCCATCAAATTTGGCCTCTGAGAGTGCACAGAAGGATACCAGGGACTGTCACTGAGCTCCTGTCACCAGGAGAGTGACGTGTCTCCACAGAGCCTTAGTAAAAGGGATGGGACAGGCACTCTCAGGAAGCCACGGCTGCTCCCTGAACAGAAGAGAACTCTGGGGTCTGTGTCCTACAACAAGGATCAGAACCTTGGCATCTTATTGCTCACTGGCTGTACAATTCTGAGGACATTTCCTCTTGTACAACACAGGGACAACTGTGGGTCTTCTCATGTGGGGTTGTGGTGATAATAACATGAAGTGACGTGTGTGACAAGGGCCTGGAACTGTTTGTTGTTTCCTTTGTGAGGCATCACCCGCAGTGCATGCTTCTGACAGGGGTTAGTTCTGAGCTACTCAAGTTTTAAATACTGAAGACACAGACTTGAGTTTTTAAATCTCTTGTTGAGCTTACAGACATATTTGTGAGACTGGAAAGGTGACTCAGTTGGTAAAGAGCTTGTCACCCAAGCGTGAGGGTCTGAGCGCTTTACACAAGCACCTACATATACATTCAGGCACAGTGGAGGGTGCCTGTCATCTCAGCTCTAGAAAGGTGAAGGCAGAAGGATTCTTGGGGCTTGCTGGCCAGCCTGCTTCAAAAAATAGAATGGAAAGCGGTTCATGAAGATACCCTGCTAGATCAACCTTTGACCACTATATGCACAGGCATACATGCACACATGTGCACCAAAGTGCACACACTATAACACATACACACACACACACACACACACACACACACACACACACCCCACAAGTGCATATCAACTTTAATAGAGAATAATATCGCTATTATGAACGAGTATCTTGCATTCACTCTGCTATGAGAAACTTAAAGGCATAAGCTTGATAAAGATAAGAGAACTTCAAAAGGCAAATTTCAGATAAGGGAAAGATAGGAGCACAAGATAGTTGCAGAAAAATTTTTTTAAATGAATGCACTTATTATTTGAGAGTGGAAAAGACATTTCCAAAGGGTCAAAACCAAGAAACAACAAAGAAAATTCTGTCTAATGATGTTAAAAACTGAAAAATGTATGTGCAGTTAAAAGAAAGAAAGAAATTAAAAAAACCCAACTAAGCCTAAAGGTTAATAGCAAACTAGATAAAATGTATTTGTGATGCCTGCTACAAAAAGGGGCCCTTTAACTTGTCAATATGAGTTTAAGTTAAGTGATTATGTGCTAGGAAGGAAAAGATAGCCCAAAGGAAAATTATGTAAAGGCAAAAGATTAATATTCTTTCTTTTTTTTCTTTTCCTTTTGGGCTCAAAGAATTGCACTTAGGGTTTCAGATACGCAAGAGAAGCACTCTCCCACTGATGTAGATTTAGAGCCTGAGAAATTTATTTTTGTAAAGACTTATATTTGTTTTAAATTAGGTGTATGTGTGGTAGGTATGTGCACTAAAGTGCAGGTACCTAGGGAGGCCAGAAGAGGGAGTCAGATCTCTCGGGGCTGGAGGCACAGGCTACCTGATGTGCACACTGGAACAGAACTTGGGTCTTCTGCAAGAGAAACACTGTGCTCTTAACTGCTAAACTAGCTTTCTAGCCACCCTGAGAAAAATACGTTTTTAATTGATTATTTTATTTACATTTCAAATGTTATCTCCCTTCCCAGTTTCCCCTCCACAAGCCCCCTATCCCCTCTTACACCCCCCAGCCTCTATGAGGGTGCTCCCCCATTCCCCCCCACACCTGCCTCAGTGCTCTAGCATTCCCCTACCCTGGGTCATTGAGCCTCCACAGGACCAAGGGGCTCCCCTCCCAGTGATGCCTGATAAGGCAATCCTCTGCTACATAGGCAGCTGGAGCAATAGGTACCCCCTATGAACTCTTTGGTTGGTGGTTTAGTTCCTGGGAGCTTTGGGGGGTCTGGTTGGTTGATGTTGTTCTTCCTATGAGGCTGCAGACCCCTTCAGCTCCTACGGTCCTTGCCCTAACTTCCCCATTGGGGACATCATGTTTGGTCCAATGTTTGGCTGAGTACATCCGCATCTGTATTGATCCTGCTCTGGCAGAGCCTCTCAGGGGACAGCTGTACCAGGCTCCTGTCAGTAAGCACTTCTTGGCCTCAGCAATAGTGTCTGGGTTTGGTGTCTGCGGATGAGATGGATCCCTAGGTGGGGCCATTCCTTCATCTTCTGGATGGCCTTTCCTTCAATTTCTGCACCACTCTTTGTCCCTGCATTTTCTTTTGACAGGAAGAATTCTGGATTAATATTTTTGAAGTGGGTAGGTGGCCCCATCCCTCAACTGGGGGCCGTGCTATCCACTGGATATTGTCTCTTACTGGTTCTATCTCCCCTTTGCTGGGTATTTTGAATAAAGTCCTCCCTGTTGGGTTCTGGGAACCTCTTGGGTCCCTGGCATCTGGGACTATCTACTGGCTACTCCTACTTCCTCCTCCCCCACTGCTACACACCTACTTTCAAATTCCTGGCCCTCTGTACCTCTCCCTCATCTCCCCCCATATCTGAACTGCCCCCCCATTTTTGCATCCCCCTCCTATCTCCCTCCCAGATCTCTCTCTCCCTCTATTTCTCAGAAATTATTCTCTTCCCCCTTCTGAGTAGAACTGTAGCATCCACACGTTGGTGTCATCTTTTTTCTTCTTGGGTTTCATATAGTCTGTGAGTTGTATTGTGAGTATTCTAAGCTTCTTTTTGGCTAATATCCACTT